AAATGCATCATTTCAGACATATTTTTCTCGGAGTAGCACTATATTGAATGTGTGTTTTTCTACAAAATTCACTTCATGAAATATCTAATAATTCATTATTTTCAAATATGATCAAATATACCTGGAATTTGTAACTTGTGTTAGATTTGGCTGATTTTATATGAAAAACTAGCTACCTAATTGTTAATAATCCCAAGTAAATAACACTTTATTGTGAGAAATTTACTCCACAATTAACAAAACTGCAATATGGTTAACATCCATTTTCTGTAAAAAACACAAATCGAATCGGGTTTTTTTTGATAAGGAAGATATGATATGTGAAGTTTTCAAAAGTGCTTCTTTTGGAATATTCAATATGATGATGATAATAATAATAACAGTCGACTTTATTCGTCACAAGAGATACAGGATATGTTATTTGTATTATCAGTTGAAGACGCGAATTGTCAGCTAAAGCTGTTTTTCAACTCAACTCTTATTCATGTTAAAAATAATTTCAATATAGGAATTCAATTACAAGATAAAGGAAGCTATGAGTAAAGACTGATATTGACAGTATTAAGTATGAAATTCAAGTAAAAAAAAAGAATCGAGAATTGACTCTGATTTATTCCAATGAATGTTCGCAATGTTTACCATTCACTTTTTGACACATTTATTTTTGCCATTATGACAAGTTTCTGGGCCATTTTCGTTGCAAGCATTTTTTATACGCGAGTTCTGAAATGAACTGCGTTTGTATATCGTGAATTCCTTAAAAACGTCTGGAAGCGTCATATAAGGTTATCGAGAAAGCATTTGTAAGGCATCACGTTTACGATAATTTTCATAAAGACACTTTAATCCAACCTTGCGTAATGGGAAGATAGCTCATCTTGCTGGAACGTTTCATCAGTTCATCAGTTGGGTTTGTCAAAGATCCTTACTGGTAGATGAGCAGACTTGGCCCCTTGAAATGGTCCACTGGATCACCTGATATGGCACCTCTAGATATTTTTGAGGGGATACGTGACATCAGAAGAAAGTAGGAAGGAGAACGAAGACCATTTTCAATATTCATTGAAATAAAATGAATATTTAAATGATAATTACTAAGGAATGGCTGAACGGTTTTCCGAAAGTGAAACATTATTGGATTCAGAAATTAAATCACATATTGAACGAGTGATCACAAGCTCTTCCTTTCTATTTGATGAGTAATGCAACACTTCTGCCTTTCTTATCAAAAAGTAATCAAAATGAAGCCTTTCACGTAAATTTTATTAGACATTAATATCTTGGTCCATGAGTTTTATGGTCGTGAGTTTTGATTTTTGCAGATAAACGTAGAGCGAACTAAAAAAACTAAAATTTTCATTTGTAAGGTCATTCAAATCAATAGTGGTTTTAAATTATCTACTTACATAACCCAATATTGTAGAAGAATGTCATTCCAGATGATTATGTGCTAGATAAAGCTATCCAACAAAGCATGAATATGTTGATTTACAGTTTCATTCATAATTTCCTATGTCACTAATGTTAAAACAACTACTCTACATATAGATATTCGGTAGTATCCACAAAAATCACCAAGAACGGCCAAGTTTGCATTATTGCTAGAATATGTTAACGAAGCAGGATGCCCAGCCGTGATGTTTTGTGATTTAAGTAGAGCGTTTGACTGCGTTAATCATAAAAAACTGATTTCAAAATGGGAAATATATGGTATGAGGGGTTCTGTCAGTTGGATCACTTCATTGCTTTATGTAGAACATAAAAAAATTCATGAGAAAACTATTATTTTGAATCCGACGGATGAACAGGAAATAAAAAATGTTATATCTGAACTGAAAAATAAAAAGGCTCCGGGAATCGACTCATTATTATATCCAGTTCAGAAACATCTTATTGGAGAAAATCGATGCCGAGGTTTTTGTGGCATTGTACTGAACCTTCCGGTGAAGATGTGCATCCGCAGCCGATGTCTTGGAATCCAAATGTAATGATAAGACAAGTGTGCTGTCGTCAGCAAAGTAATATATTGGATTCTTGGTTTTTACCAAGATGTCGTTGATATACAATAAAAAGAGGATTGGAGATACTAGGGATCCCTGGGGAACATCAGCGTTGATGGTGGAAGTATTCGAGTCATTTGCAGGAAACGTTCTTCCAGGAAGCTGAAGAGCCATACATTAAAATGACAAGCCATAGCATCGAAGTTTGGCCAGCCTTCCAAATATTTGAGGATATGATGATTTACGGCTTTTTCCATGTTTTTTATATCACTGATAGCGGAGCGACTGGTCTATAGTTGTTTGGAAGAATTTTCTTGTCTTTTTTGGGAATGGGCCGAACGCGAGGAATCTTACAACAAGAAGGAAACACCTCTTTCTTGCAAAATACTGGTGCAAAATAATTTGCGCACTTTTCAAGTACGATGACAGTCACTTCATCATGACGCTGCCGAAAAGTAATTTCCGGCATTATAGATTCTAGTGTAGGAATAGTGTGTGGTGCTTTTCCTAGAAAATCGACTGTGGAGTGGGTTCAGTTGGTAGATTTGCTTTTTCTATGGCTGATGTTGCAATTGAACCATCCGCTTGTGTTAGTGGTGGAATTGTGGATTTTGTAAAGTTCTGATTAACAGCTTTAACTACCGACCAGAAGGATCTAGACCTGTTGGGATTGGCAAGCAGTTTATCCCAAATTCTCTAATTGTAAAGTTCTTTGCTTTAATTTATCTTAATTTTGCAGCTATTGCGAGCATTAACAAACCTACTTCGGTTCTCAACGAGATTTTTGGAGGCGACAGCTTGCTTGCAATTTTTGTTGAATCAAAATTTGCCGTTAGAAGGTTGTTTCATTGAAAAAGTAATATATGCATCCATAGATGATAGAATAACTTCCGCGACTTCAGAAGCACAAGTTGATAGATCTTTAGAGCTGAAACAATCATCTAGCCAGGGGAAATTTCGGAAATTGTTTTGACGATCCTCCCATTCAGCTGATCTGTAACGCCAAATTTTGTGCGGCTTAGATTGTTCCCCAACATTTACCGGTATTTCGCTCAACACTGAAATGAATTTGTGGTCAGAAGATCCCAATGGAGACCTTACGGTGGCTGTGAAAATAAAATGTTCAGAAATATTACAGATATGTCAGAGATGCACAGTTTGTTGAATAACAGCGGCAATAACGCTGATAGACCCATGAACAAATGAATGTCATTCATGTCATTATTGAAGTCATGTCGAATAGTCTAAAATGTAAAATTCCATGAAAATTGGAAGCAGTGAGCCAAAGAATGACTGGGTTGCTCTGGGTTCAGAGAATCCTCACTTTGGACATTATACAGGGTGTAACTGAATAAGTGTAAAACATTCAAGGAGGTGATTTCTCATCGAAAAAAAGATAGGATCTTTCATATAAAGAAACTTCTTTGGAGTATCCCTTGTTAAGATACAGCCTCTTAAATGGGGTACATAAAATTTGTATAACAATTTTTTTCACAAGCACTGAAAAAGTTACAATATTGAAATCAACATGACGTTTTGTACTACCAAAAAGACACTCAGCCAGTAATTTAATTGGTTTACCCCATGGTTGTAAGGGTTGGAAAACGCAACCCCTAAAATTTATTTTCAATGTAACTTTCTGTCTTATTATTTGTTTACCATTTAAAAATCCATTTCCAATAGCCTGTTTCATTCTAAACAAAACATGTCTCCTGGGTTTTTTGCCCAAAATAAACCAGTTCGCAGCAAAAAATTATTTTACGAACAACTACAGAGATACATCGTCATAAATGCGAACTGGATTTATTGTTATTTTGTAGTTAGTACCTGCATTAAATGATTAAATGGTAATAAACAAAACTAATGTATTATTAACAAAACACACATGCATCTAGACGTCGGCGCATTGAGCCACGTATCCGCTCAAATATTCCTGGAGTCTCTCTGATTACCCTGCATGCATCGATGACGCGGTTTCTCAAGTCCTCTACATCGCGAACAGGAGTACGATAAACCAAATGCTGTAAATGGCCCCAAATAGAGAAATCGAGAGGATTGAGATCCGGGGATCGAGTTCTGTGGTTCTCCTCGACCTATCCACTGATTTGCATATGTTTCAGTTGAATGTTGACGTGCTACTTGACTAAAATGGGCGGAAGCCCCATCATGCATGAAAAACATATCCCTTCTGATGCCCAAAGGTACTTCCTCCAGCAGTACTGGATGCACTTCTCTTGAAAATTGAACGTATGTCTCATTCAATCAAGGAGGTAGAAAATGAGGTCCAATTAAATCATTTCCAATAACACCGAGCCACACGTTAAGAGAAAACTGTTCTTGATGGTTAGTTTCGACAATAGCGTGAGGGTTTTCATCAGCCCATATGTGGTTATTATGAAAATTAATAATCTTGTCTCGAGAAAAACTGCATTCGTCTGTGAATTCTATCGTCTTTGGAAAATCACAATTTCTTCTAATCATTTCCAGCATTCAAATGCAAAATTCAAGACGGTTCGGAAAGTCTCGCGGTAACAGTGCCTGTACTCGTTGCAGATGGTAAGNTGTTCATATATGTCTATAAATTTGTGAAAAAAAAACAGCGAAATATTGCCTGCATTGAATTTTAAAGCGAATTGCAGAAAGATGAGTAAAATTCCAAAATATAAAAATAATATTTTCATTCAATTGTGAATTGTTTATTTGAAGTACGTATCGATTTTAAAAATTTGATTAAACTGAATATATATTTCTTCATCGATGAAGCTTCATAATTATTGAATAACAATAGGGGCGCTTGAGCTTGGAAAAAAATTAAGTCTTTTTGAAATGGTGGAAATAGATATTTTGGAAATATTACCCTTTATTTTTCAAGGAAATGAGTAATGTCGAGAATCACCCTGAAGCACAAACCCAACAACCTCATGTGCCACAATATTGTAAAATAAATAAAATAAATTTCTTCGCTACGCAAAGGTTAACCCCGTAATGGAAAACCAGAAAATATATAAAACAAATATAATATTCAAATAAAATATTACATATATGTTTGAAAAATATACATAAAATTACGCCAAGTAATACTTGTTGTTTTATTTTAAAATTCCACTCTATAATGGACTTCTTGGTCTCTGCTGGCTGGAGTTTTTCAGTTTTTTCAGCAATACTGAATCATTCAAAGTGTCCTTCTTGAAATCTCTGGGAAACTCATCTTTGAGATCAGCAATGATAAAGGCTACGGAAGCCCAAAGAGCGGTTGCCTTATCCAGACTGTCTGGGTCCAACACATCCATGGTATCCGCGGCAGAGTGGTGGTAGTAAAAATACTTATCATTGGCATTGAGAAGACTTCCACCAGGTATTTGACCAGCCCAAATTGTGATGTCAGAACCAACTGCATCTGCATAGGATGATTGAGTGGTGTTGATTGACGACAACAACCTGAAATGGGTGAAAAATATAGCTACATTTTATTGTTCAATAGCTAGTAAGATGAATGAGTGTGTACAAAGACAGATTGGCCTTATCACATGATCGTAGGGTTGTAGAAAAAAATTCAATGTGCAAAAACCAACTACTACTCTGGATGGACCATTTATTAGTATAATATACAAAGAACCATTGATCTTGACGGTAGCCTTCATATAGGTAGTTACCTACGGCCGTGAAAGTTTACATTCTTCGATTATACCTTTACTCACTTCAAAATTTCCTGTATAATGCAGCCTCCTTTCGGCCCAGCGTTGTACTCAATACCAAGGGGTGTAAATGTTCCCTCATCTGATTCCATGACGAAGATGTGGTCCTTCAGCTCACTTGCATGTGCTTTATTGTAAGCCTGAGCTCCTATTAATCCTGGTTCTTCTGCTGTCCAGAGAACAGATCTGAAAGCAGATATAAAATCTTTCAATGGAATCGAATTTTTTCTAAGAATCCGACTTTAATTTATTTCCAATAGTCAATTCCTCAAATAACTCCAGCATTATACAATGTGTACACTTATTATTGTGGAGAATTCTGTTATTCATTCTTATCAGTTGTTCAAATTGAAAGGGTTATATTTTTAGGAGAGGTTAATTTTTGGGAAATGAAGTGTTTGGCTTTCTACTTTTCCATCTTAATACAAAAAATGTGGGAATCTGGAATTACACGAAAGAAAAATACATTCGAAACAAATACTTTTATATTTAATACTTCCAAAATACAAATCATGAAATTATAAAACAACAACAAAAACTAATTGGCGCTCCGAGGCAACTTCATTGATTCCAGTGGTGCATTTGCTTTTTTAGCTGCAGAAAAACACGGAAAAACAGCACCACATCATCTGAAGGTCTTGATCTACCAATGTCCTCTCTTTCATAAAACAAAATATAGGGTGTCTCCAGAGGCTCCAATAGATTCAATGCATCGCCAGAACACTTCGTGACACGACTATCGTCAAACTTAAACTAGTCCGTTTCGTCCTTGACCAAGGCGTAATAATGACCAAATTCAACGCCAGAACCACAGTGAACAACGACTGCATGAATATTATAATAGTGGTCTGCTAGATTGAAATGTTCATCTATTTCGAACCTTCCAAAGAGTTTCTTGCTTCCGTCAGAGGTTGAGTCATGTTTGAAGATCATCAGTGCTATTATTAGATTGACAGGTGCCTCAGCTATACTTTTTTTTTATATAAAAGTCAGTTAGTTTGGCGCATGTTTAGCAATACAGTCGATCATCACCTGTTAAAAGTTCCATTTTTAGATGATTTAACAGTAAGCTTTGCACGGACTGGTTATTAGTCATATTAGGAAACGCTAGTTGAAGTTCCAGAAATTCATTTTACTGAAAAGTAAACAAGTGAGGATTTTTTCAGCAAAAGATTCACAAACACAAGTCTAGATAGACTGTACGGAATCATTCAATCCAGAACGGTCAGGAGTATTGATTCTGCTATTGTTTTGCCCACGAAAAGTATTCAACAAGAACCCCTTGTTGTCCTAATGAGTATCTAGTGGACTTCAAAGACTCCAGGAATCTAGTTGAAGGGAAAGATGATACATTCTTACGAAACTGCAGCTGCATGAACTGGTGTTTGAGTTTGGTGAATAAGTAGGGAACATTCTCGTTCTCGTTCATTATTAAAACTTCGTTTTTGAAATTCTTCGTCAAGAACAACACTTGTAAAATGCTATTCATGTAGCAAGTGTTTCCTAAATTATCTAATCCAATTTTATTCTCAAGTTTTTCAGGATAACTCTCTACTGATTCGTAAGGTTTCAAAATTCAATTTAGGGCTAGGTTTGTCACAGAATCTGACTGGATAATATGGAAAATATAGTTCCATTCTATAAATGGAAAGCAGGAAGTAGTGTCCATAAAAAGTATAATGTGGCGTCTAACTGCCGAGTGTCCAGAAGTTTGGGGCTCTCTGCTTGGGGTCAGTTGATTTTTAAATATTATTCGATTTGAGTTCAGACCAAATGTCATCAAAGTTGTCCAATGATAACACATAACATTTTGTTTTTGTAGTATCAGTTTTGTATTGTAGTATCAGCAAACAATATTAAGTTACCAGAAATACCTAAATCAGTTATATAATTTATGTAAAAGAAAAAATTGAAAAATTCAGAACTGATCTCTGTGGGACGCCACCATTATTCCAACATTATGTTCCTCATAGAAACATCTGGATTCTTGTTAGGCAGATATAATCTGAATCAATGAATTACAAGTACCTACTTAAAGTACACATGGTTTGAGTTGCAGGAGAAGTACAGGACATACATCTCGACATCACCTAGTGAACGACATATTGAAACGAGCTATATTGTCAGCGGATGTTCCTGCAATTCTGGAACCCTTAGGTACCAGTCGAGATGATGGCAAACGACCAGATGGTATGTCTCTCATACTATGGAAATACGGTAAACCTGTGGTATGGGATTTCACTTGCGTTGACACGGTCGCGGCTTCCCATCTAGCCGAAAGTTCGAAGTCTGCTGGAACTGCAGCATTGTCTGGCGAGAAATTGAAAAGAAAAAAATACCAAAATCTTGGTAACAACTATCTGTTCCATCCAGTAGCGGTTGAAACTTTTGGTGTTTATGGCCCGGAGTTTCTGTTATTCGTTGATGAACTCGGAAGGAGAATAGGCCAAGCAACGAAAGATCACCGTTCTACCTCTTTTTTGATAGAAAGAATTAGTATTAATATTCAACGTGGCAATGCTGCTTCGGTCCTTGAAACTATTCCTCCTTCACATAATTTTGATGAGATCATGCATTGCCCTAGTTTCAGTATGGAACTGAAATCTCTTCGAAACAAGCCGAGATATGTGAATATTCATCAGTCTCCTGTCAAGGTTAATTCACAAGTGATTAATCCACCTTCTTCTTTTTCAGTGCGGTCAGTGGACTCAGGTCATTTTTGCCCCCCAAATATGAGTTGCAGTCCTTGTAGTTCTGGTTCCCTTTCAGTGGAAAAGCTTCATGAAGCAAGAGCCGAATCGATCCCTCTACGAAACCCTTCTTCACTTGGAAGGATCGATCGCAGCTTGAGAAATGGTTCTTATGGAGATTCTGTGAATCGTGTTCTTCCTTACGAATCAGTAGAGAGTTGTCCTGAAAATCTAGAGAAGAAAATTGGATTGGATAATTTAGGAAACACTTGCTACATGAATAGCATTTTACAAGTGTTCATGACGAAGAATTTCAAGAACGAGGTTTCAATGATGAACGAGAACGGGAATGTTTCCTACTTATTAATCAAACTCAAACACCTGTTCATGCAGCTGCAGTTTCGTAAGAATATATCATCTTTCCCTCCAACCAATTTCTTGAAGTCTTTGAAGTTCACTAGATACTCGTTAGGACAACAAGAGGATTGTTCCGAATTCTTGGGGGTCTTGTTGAATACTCTTCGTAAGCAAAACAATAGCAAAATCAATACTCCTGACCGCTCCGGATTGAATAATTCCGTACAGTCCATCTCGTCTTGTGTTTGTTAATCTTTTGCTGGAAAAATCCTCACTTGTTTACTTTGTAGTAAGTGTTCAATAGGGCAGCGAAAACTTATGTAAATTTCTGGAACTTCATCTAGCTTTTCCTAATATGACTAATTACCAGTTCGTGCAAAGCTTATTGTTAAATCATCTGAAAATTAAATTTTTAACAGGTGATGATCGACTGTATTGCCAAACATGCGCCAAACTAAGTGACTGTTATAAGGAAACAAGTATAGCTGAGACACCAGTCACTGTGGTTCTGGCGTTGAATTTGGTCATTATTACGCCTTGGTCAAAGATAAAACTATTTTTTCTGGTTTGGCGCTACCAACTATTTCACCCACTACGTTTCTAGAGGGTGAATCTGGATGGGAATGGGTGTGTGTTTTCAGCTTGATAACAATTTTTTGACCTCTATCCTGAAAAATAAATAAGTTGGTGATAGAGTAAACATTTCGATGGATGCAAAATAAGAAACGGTGGAAGAATTTTATTCCTTCACAACTCAATGATTTTGTGAAATAATTTTCCAGGCACCTATTGTTGCAGAAGTAGCATGGTGGCATTAAGAAAGGAAACTATCAAAGGCTACAAGAATGCGGTAAAAAGTCCGTAAGAAAGTGTGGTGGATGAAGATTAACCAGAATCATTGTTAGAAAGTATCTGGAAAACCTATAACCTATACAAATGTTGATGAAAAATGGAGATGACTTTTTTCATCAGAGCTAAACACAAGCACTACAGAAAAATCATCAAGGCGCTCTAACAGCGGTGCCTGTGCGAAAACAGTGATTCACATTGGATTTGAATCGCTGGAGATTGAATCCGCTCGGAAAAACGTTCTCAGGAAGTTTATTTCATATAAACGCAGTTCTCCAAATGGAAGATTTTTCAAACAGTGAAGTTCCAGGTATACTTTCCGAAAAAATATCTATAAAAGAAAGACAAATACCCAACTTTTCTTCGATGTTCCAGACTATCAAAGTTACAAGTGATACCCTGAAACTGCTGGATGAAATCCAGCATGTTTGAAGGCGTAGCTCCATACATGAGAACTATATTAAAAAGAAGGTCTAATCTGAGCTTTATGAAGCATTAAAAGTTGCTGAGGTGTGCACAGTTTTCTGGTTCGGAAGAGTATTCCAAGCTTTTGAGAAGCAGCCTTTGAAATTCCAGCCAAGACATAATGCAATGCCCAGACATAATGGTCTCCATTTTAACCCCCAACAAACTTAACGAAGCAGAAAGCGGAATTGTCTAAATTGACATTATTATATGCAGTTCGGAAACATCTTATTGGAGAAAATCGATGCCGAGGTTTTTGTGGCATTGTACTTAACCTGCCGCAGCCGATGTCTTGGAATCCAAATGTAATGATAAGACAAGTGTGCTGTTGTCAGCAAAGCAATATATTGGATTCTTGGTTTTTACCAAGATGTCGTTGATATTCAATAAAAAGAGGATTGGAGATACTAGGGATCCCTGGGGAACATCAGCGTTGATGGTGAAAGTATTCGAGTCATTTGCAATAAACGTTCTTCCAGGAAGCTGAAGAGCCATACATTAAAATGATTCGACAAGCCATAGCATCGAAGTTTGGCCAGCCTTCCAAATATTTGAGGATATGATGATTTACGGCTTTTTCCATGTTTTTTATATCACTGATAGCGGAGCGACTGGTCTATAGTTATTGGGAAGAATTTTCTTGTCTTTTTTGGGAATAGGCCGAACGCGAGCAATCTTACAACAAGAAGGAAACACCTCTTTCGTGCAAAATACTGGTGCGAAATAATTTGCGCACTTTTCAAGTACGATGACAGTCACTTCATCAGGACGCTGCCGAAAAGTAATTCTCGGCATTATAGATTCTAGTGTAGGAATAGTGTGTGGTGCTTTTCCTAGAAAATCGATTGTGGAGTGGGTTCAGTTGGTAGATTTGCTTTTTCTATGGCTGATGTTGCAATTGAACCATCCGCTTGTGTTAGTGGTGGAATTGTGGATTTTGTTATTTTTGTAGTTGGCACACATGAAGTTGGAGGCTGAAATGGCGACACCGACACCTCAGCATCAGGATTTCGAATCTCCTCCATTAACACCGTCAGTAATATCACAGCCTACAATTCAACAACCCGAAATGGTCCAAGCAGACGTTGCTGGTCATTCACAGCCGAAACAGCAGGAGGCTCAGAAACCTGATCCTCTACCCGACTCACACCGTCTCAGGATAGCGACAAGAGGTAAAATAGCCGATGGATCCTGGGATGAGGATTCTGCCATTTCTCAGACCTCCAGTACATCTGGATACAGGTTAACACATTTAGATTTAATCTACTAATACATTTTTCCCACACTAGAACAAAAAATTGTCTTTCAACGCTCGTTTCGCCAACCAGTCCTACGGATGAAGTAAAAACAGTTAGAGCCTCGTTAGACATTAAGAAACGCACAGGATATGATGAAGTATACACAAAAATAATCAGAGAATGTGTGGATATATCATCTGAAGCTATAGGATATATTTTGAACATTATTTCCTTTTGAAGAATATCCTGACCTGCTTAAAATTGTGGTCCTTGTCCCTCATTCACAAACTCCCCAGATATTGAACGTTGGGGCTGGTATTCTTCAGAACTTGATATCTTATCCCGTTCAAAAGTTAAGAGGGGAGGAAGGAAACTTTGTAGATTCGCCCTATATGTTGTGTTTGATGAAAAGACACAGATCCACCCTTTGCATTTCCAATTTTGAGTAATCCAATTGTCTTGATATTTGACTCCACTCACACATTTCAGGGAATCTTATCCAGTGATGCATCTGAAGGAATCGCTTGAGGCATCTCCCAAAGCGTTCCCTCCTCTAGCTTCGCCAGATATTCACAGTCTCCCGTCCACCAGCAGTGCTACCACCACCAACAACTTCTTGCTTATGGATAATTCATCCCCGGATTGTTCACTGAATGAAAATGGCGAGAAAACTGCGCTATTAGGAGCGAACGGGAAGTCTTCTTCTCAACATTCGCTGCTGATGGTATTCGAACAGCAGGACGAAAATACGCTCATTTAAAAATGATGCGGTGTAAATTATCCTAACAAGTGGCTTGTTGTTTCCTGTTTATTCAAAATAAGAAATATACAGTAGGGGCAACGAAATATTACACATGCATCTTCAATTTGTGCATCCGATATACAAACATTGTTTCAAAATACTCATCTAGTGAGTAAATAAAATTTGCCAATAGGAAGTCACTGGAAGTTTATTTGAAACAAGATAATATAATGCCTTTGTTGCTTTGACATTTTCGGGAAAGTGATTATATATCCTTTACCCAACACAATTAGGAGAATTTGATGTGAGACTCGCACATGGAAAGTGAAGATATTTTTTTGCCTTATAATGGGTGATTTTTTAAGAGGTATAGGATTTGATTTTCAAAAACATCACAAAAAGTTTGAAAAAATTGATGAAATCTTTTTTGGAATCGATAAAACGATCAATAAAATTTGTTGTTTGAAGATGATTTCATGAAAATGTTGTCCGCGGCTCCGCTTCATATGGTCCATGCGCAAGGTCTAATTTTGGCACAATCTCTCTAACATATCGACCGGTATTTCACGTATAAATGCTTCAATATTGGCTTCCAGAAACATGTAGACATAAGCTTTAACATGACCTCACAAGAAATAATCCAAAGGCGTCAAATCACACGATCTAGGCGGCCAATTGGCGGGCCCCAAACGTGAGATATACTGTTCACCGAAGGCGGTTCTTAATTGGGCCATTGTTTCGCGTGCCGTGTGGCATGTGGCACCGTCTTATTGAAACCACATATCAGGCATGTCCAATTCTTCCATTTTGGGCAACAAAAAGTCGTCAATCATCACACGGTAGCGCTCGCCATTCACAGTAACGTTCCGGCCATTGTCGTCTTTGAAAAAGTACGGCCCGATGATGCCACCGACCCATAATC